ACAAACGGATGGACGCACGGACAGACGCCCGGTATTTCCATGTCCCCCGCAACGCATTACGCGGGGGACATAAAAATCAAATTTTTACTGATATTCACAGTATGACAGCTGAATGTGTGTACTCAGACTGAGGCTCTAGCAACATTGTGATGAATACATGACCTAAACAGAAATTCTGTTTTCGGTCAATTATCTTCAAAATGAAAAGGAAGGACATTCTAAACCAAAATTAGAATTATACCGAAAGCAAAGCTCGGTCTACTTAAACTGAATTAAATTTTCTTCAGTACAAAAATCTACAAAAAAATGTTAAATTTGCAATACTGAGCACACTGATAATAGATTTTAAGCAGGGGCGAATCATGTTTTTTCATAGGGAGTGTAATTGCCTATAATGTAGAAATATCCACCCTAGCGGGGCCAGTCAACAAAAACAAATTTTGGATGATTTTTGTCGAGCCTTCGACTTTTGTCGAAAAAGCGAGACATAGCGATCCTACATTCCGTCGGCGTCGTCGTCGTTGGCGGCGTCCACAAATATTCACTCTGTGGTTAAAGTTTTTGAAATTTTAATAACTTTCTTAAACTATCCTAGATTTCTACCAAACTTGGACAGAAGCTTGTTTATGATTATAAGATTATATTCAAAAGTAAATTATGTAAAAAAAAAATTCCATTTTTTCCGTATTTTACTTATAAGTGGACTTTGTTTTTCTGCCAGGAAACATTACATTCACTCTGTGGTTTATTAAAGTTTTGGAAATTTTAATAACTTTCTTAAACTATCCCAAATTTCTACCAAACTTGGAAAGAAGCTTGTTTATGATCATAAGATAGTATCCAGAAGTAAATTTTGTAAAAAAAAAATCCATTTTTTCCGTATTTTACTTATAAATGGACTTAGTTTTTCTGCCAGTTAACATAACATTCACTCTGTGGTTAAAGTTTTGGAAATTTTAATATCTTTCTCAAACTATCCTGGATTTGTACCAAACTTGGACAGAAGCTTGTTTATGATCATAAGATAGTATCCAGAAGTAAATTTTGTAAAAAGAAAATTCCATTTTTTCTGTATTTTACTTATAAATGGACTTAGTTTTCTGCCAGTTAACATTACATTCACTCTGTGGTTAAAGTTTTTAAAATTTTAACAACTTTCTTAAACTATCCTGGATTTGTACCACACTTGGACAGAAGCTTGTTTATGATCAAAAGCTAGTATCTAGAAGGAAATTTTGATAAAATTTTGTTCCATTTTTTCCGTATTTTACTTATAAATGGACTTAGTTTTTCTTCCAGTCAACATTACATACATTCTGCAGTTTAAGTTTTTAAAACATTTATTAGATTCATAAATTATCCTGGATTTTACCAAACTTGGACAGAAGCTACTTACAATCAAAAGATAGTATAGAGAGGAATATTTTTATTAATTTTTTTCCTCATTTTTGTTGAGCCTGCGATTAACACCAAAAGTAGGCGAGACACTGGGTTCCGCGGAACCCTTACGAATTTTATACTAAAAATTTATATATTTTGTAAAAAAATAAATGTGAATAGTGTCTACATGTGGACACAGATGATGCCCCCGCTTGCATATCATATAGTTATAAAGGGACATAACTGAAGAACGGTAAAAGTGACACTACCCAAATTTGAACTTGATCTGAGTTTTGTGGTAATAAGCATTGTGTTAAGTCTCATAACATTTGGTTGATGCTAACTTAAGTAGAGAACAGAAACTAAAAATTCAGCAATTTTTCTATTTGTAAACACGCATAACTCTAGAACGGTTGTGTATAAGTTTTATAACATTTGGTTTAGACAAACTAAAGTTAGAGAACAGAAATGAAAAATTCAGCAATTTTTATGTTTATAATGGGACATAACTCAAGAATGGTAAAAGTGTCGCCACCAAATTTCGTACTTAATCTGTATTATGTAGTAAAAAGATGTGTATAAGTTTCCTAACATTTGGTTGAGGCAAACTAAAGTTAGAAAACGGAAACAAAAAATTTGTAGTTGATCTTAGTTTTGTGGTAATGAATATTGTGTATAAGTTTCATAATGTTTGGTTGGGGCAACTTAAGTTACAGAATGGAAACCCAAAAGTTTGCAATCTTTCGATTTATAAAGGGGCATAACTCAATAATAGTTAAAGTGACACTACCCAAATTCAACTTGATCTGTGTTTTATCAGTGGAAGTCAAAATTTTACATTGCATTGTATAAAGTATTGATTGAAGTTGATTCAACTATAATCATGGACAAAGGAAGATAACTCAAATTTTAAAAATCACTTGATATTTAGAAGTAAATAAAAATTTTGCAATTTTTCCATTTATAAAGGAGCATATCTCTAGAACGGTTAAAGTGACGCCACCAAAATTCAAACTAGATCTGTGTTTTGTGGTAATAAGCATTGTGTATAAATTTCATAACATTTGGTTGAAGCAAACTTAAGTTAGAGAACGGAAACTAAAAATTTTGCAATTTTTCCATTTATAAAGGGGCATAACTCTAGAACGGTTAAAGTGACGCCACCAAAATTCAAACTTGATCTGTGTTTCGTGGTAATAAGCATTGTGTATAAGTTTCATAACATTTGGTTGAGGCAAACTCAAGTTATAGAACGGAAACAAATTTTGGGACGTACGTACAGACGCACAAGGGTAAAACTTAATGCCCCCACCGCTATGGCGGGGGCATAAAAATCATCAAAGGGGGAGGTGTAAGCCCTCTACGCCCCCTGGATCTGCCACTGTAAAGAATTATATTCCAATAGTTTATATATTGTATTTGTATATTGCCTGACACATTTTAAAGAAAAAGCTGGCAAAGTTGGTCTGCAGAGGATTCAAAAATACATATACCGTTTTTCAATACAACATAATCATATTAAATAGATCCCATGTTATAAGTAATTCAGCAGGATACAAAGTATAAGGCATTCTTGGTTCTCTTTCACTGTCTATAGTCAATATTCATAAGTTTTATTTTACTTTTACATCGCTATTCACATAATCATAAAAAAAGTTCATTGTTTAAAAATGGAATTTCTGTTTAAAACATAGTTAACTTAACTAAACACATTGTTTTTGAGCCACCAATTTTAGATTACGTGTCTGTGCTAAAAAATAACTACCATCATGTGTATATAAAAATTACAACAAAATAGCAAATAAAGGGAATTGATTTGTCCATAACCTGTGAAAACATTGATTATTCGGCCTAACGTCTTTAAACGTTTGCTTGATCAGAATTGGCGCAATGTATTCCCGCCAATTCAAGTTTTAAACACCTTTATAGAAATATCTCTTTTTCTGGTACGGTGACCCTACGTTTTTATTTCCTTATTTTATTTAACAACAAACAATGCATATTCCATTAAATTCTCATCGAGAAAACATAGGTAATTTTTTTTATAAATATTGCACCATAAAAAGTTCGGATAAATTATTATAGCAACTTATCGTTATCATTTGTTACTCAGAAGATGATAATATCAATAACGTAATTTCTGCTGACAAAAAGGTTAACAAAACAGACAATTTTTATGTGATACCGACTTTTAAAAAAATATTTCACTGCTAATAACTACAAGTCCTGATTTCCAAATCCCCTGAAAATGATGGCGTTTTAATTAGAAAACAAGGCCGGTGACTCAGATTTTTTATTGGCTAATTGTGAAGCTTTTACCTAGCCTAAGGTGATAATAAAATTTAAAGAAGATATAATTGGTAGATCTGAATAGAAGGATTTGTCTTTAAGGGCAATCACTCCAATAAAGAGTGGCAGTCTACTATTACTATATTGTCAAAATTTGACTAGTTTATAGATCTTGCCTTGCTGATCATTTTTGTTATTTTAAGTTTCTATTTATCTATATTAATGTTTATCATATAAAGCAAAACGCAAAAAAATGGTAAAAATTGACATTAAAGGGCAATAACTCCAATAAGGAGTCGTCTGACAATTTCCTTAATTTTGTCTTAATTGTAGATCTTGTCTTGCTGATTGATCATTTTAGCTTATTCAAGCTAATATCTATCTATAATAATTTTTAAGATATAAGGCAAAAACACAAAAAATTGGTAAAATTCTTCATCAAAGGGCAATAACTCTAATAAGGAGTCAACTGGCAATTTCGATCATGTTAGAATTGTTTGTAGATCTTGTCTTGCTGATCATTTTTGCAATTTAAAGTTTCTCTGTATCGATTATAGTTTCAAGATAAAAGGCAAAAATGAAAAAAAATTGTAAAATTTGTCATTGAACAGCAATAACTCCAATAAGAAGTCCCTTAACAGTTTTGACGTAATTAAACAATTTGCAGAGCTCAACATACTGAACATTTTTGCCCCCCCACCCCTGTCAGATTCTCTCTATTTATCACGGTTTTCAAAATATTGACAAAACTTGGTTTTTACCCCTATGTTATATTTTTAGCCATGTCGGCCATCTTGGTTGGCAGGTTGGGTCATTGGACAAATTTTTAAAACAAGAAACCCTAATGTTGATAGTGGCGAATTTTGGTAAATTTGGTCCAATAGTTTCAGAGGAGAAGATTTTTGTAAAAGTTAACAGACAACGACGGACGATGAGCTAACAAATAGTTACATTTAAATTGCATTAGAATTCAATATACAAATACCATTGACAAAAACTAAACAGGAAATTGTTTTCGCCTTTGTAGCTCCAAACAATTTGTTCTTAATTTTGACTTTATGTCTAGAAATAAACATTTTGTCAGTTTCAAATTGTCTGTCTTGTTTCACATCAATTTTAAATAAATGGTGTTACCCAAACTATGAAATCAAGTGCCTTTATTTGAAATTGTTTTTTTTATTGATTTGCAAATAATGATTTAGTTTTACAGTGTTGGCTTTCTATTCAACTGTCATTTAACTTAAGTATTCTCAACTATTGCCACTTTTTTTTCGGTTCTTTATGTTATTTATTATCTTATGAATGAGTCTCATGCTAGATAAGTAATGTACCTAATAATTGGCTGAGTAAATTCCATTCCTCTGTTTTGAGTTTGGCCTTCAGTTTATCTTTATAATCATGAATAGCTTGGACAAAACCACCTTTGTATTCTCTGACGATGAAGTTTTCAATAGCCCTTGGTACAGTATAGAGGACTAAATAGGCAGCCTGTAATCGGTTGTCTTCTTCTGTTGGTAATCTATAACTATAGAATGTTGTAACTTTTTGTATTTATAAAGAAAGACGTGTGCTACAGGCCTTTTTGAAGTGTGAATAAAAAAAATAATGAAATACTGAATACAATGTTTATATGTACCATATCAAAACAGGGAGATGTGGTATGATTGCCAATGAGACAACTATCCACAAAAGTTGGGTGTGGGGGGGGGGGGGGGGTGTTTAATAATCTCCCTAGATATGAGATGTGCCAATGCTCAATGCTTACACAATTCATACCAAATATCATTGATTTATCATGTTTATCATTAGGGAATCCCTAGGCCTTAAGGTGGCTAGGGTGTCTTCCTCCATTTTGGATTTTGAAGTAGCAGATATAACAATTGGTCTAGATCTTTAATGAAATGTGCAAATTTTGAGAGTAGTATGTAAATCATGTGAATGATGTGTAAGACTTTTAATGTTAATATAGGAAATTATGTGTTTTATCATATTTATGGCTGTATTTTCTAAAAAGCACAATATTTTTGTTTGATTCATTTTTTTTTCAACTTTGCCAAATAAGGGGAGATAACTCAGATAGAAGGGGGAGATAACTCAGATAAAGTTATTTTATAATAGAAAGTGTTGTGAATTTACCTATTTTAATATGTAGCAAGAAACAAGTCCGGTGACCCTATTTTTTTCTTTTTCTTATCTGAAAGCATGTTATAAGAGCTATCTTCTCACATTTTATCTTAAAATTCCATGGTGTAGTTTTCTTTTTTTCACACAAAATTGGATTTTCCTTGCATAATCTATACAAAATCTGACAATTTTGCACAACCTGTAGCGTGAAAAAAGTCCGGTGACCCATACTTTTTATTATATTTTTGAAAAAAGCATGATAAAAACTTCATTTTGACAAATTATTAGACCCCCAACCACCTTAAACAGACCTATTCATATACTTATTATTTTACACTGCAGTAAACAGCATGCCTAAATTTCGCATCCACAAACTTTATTAGGACTAGCCAAAAAAATGCTTTTCAAAGGTGTTTGATTTTGTTGTTTCATGAGGTTTTCTACACATTGATATCGAAAATCATCTTACCCCGGGTAAATTAATGACATTGTGATTGGTTAAACGTCGTCACTTGGTGACCACCTATAGATGCGTATGGAGTCAATAAATTTCATAGCCAAGGGGTATCATATCGTAACATCAACTATCAATGGTGACATCATCTATAAATGCTATTATATTTCATTGTTGATTTTATACAAAACTTTGCAGAAAGTGTTGTGTGTGATAAATTCATTATACGGTTTACTACTGACATGACTGACCCCCTACGAATCCAAAGAGGGTTAGTAAAATCCAAAAGGGGATTCGACCTTTGCCCTCACCCCCCTTTTGGATTTTTCTAACCCTCTATGGATCTGCAGAGGGTCATTTGCAAACCATATAATATTCAGATACACAGTGTGCTAAATTCCATATGGGGCAAAAGCATATAAGGTCACTAGCACACTGTGTAACAAATTTATCCTATCTCATATGGGATATTAGGATGCAGTTGTAAACCTTTATATCACAATTTTAACACAACATTTATATGCAGAACATTCAATTATTTACGGCGAGAAAATCATGTTTTGATGTCTAAAAGCATTAAAATATTATAAATATGTCTGTTACAATGTATGTTACTTTGAGCACACCACAGTTTTTTTTTTAAAGGAAAAAAAGAAAGCCATGTACACATGTTTTATAGTCAAACTTAACCATTCAAATGCAAAAAAAATATTCAACTTTTTTTTAAAATCTAAAGTATCATATGACTTTAATGAATGAATAAATTGTGTATGGATGTTAACTTACGGCTGTGATGAAGAATGTGTCATTCTTTCCTGAGCTTTTCCTTAAAAAAAAAGATAATTATACATATTATTTAGGTCTACATAATAGCTTACATGTAAGTTAACTCAAGAAGAAAGCATCTATATTTAAAAAGCCCTTTCATGATCAATCTCAAGTACCATCACATGCCTTTAAAAAGACAAGTTTGATCCGATATAATTTTGCGGTGGTATCCATATACTCTGAGGGAGGGGGGGGCGGTGTTACTTGTCATGTAATGTGTGATAGGGATGAGCTGCTGGGATACTGGTCACTATTTTCAGCTTCATGATATGCTTAGGTCTGATTAAATCAAAAGTTGATTGTTTTGTATTGATGAAATTTCTGATTTCTTATCCAAGTACATAATCTATGCTATTAATTCAATTCATTCTATCTAGCAAATGTACATGAAGCTGGGAAGAATAAATCAGACAATTTAACAATTCTTGCTCTTTTTAAAATTGTATGCATTCTGATGATTGATTGACAGAAATGAAACATTGCAGATAATAATTAAAAGTTTTACGTGGAAAGGCTGTGGAATACCACCAATATCTTGCAGAAAGAGTCTTCATGCATTTGTTGTACATAAGAGACATTTTAAGTCACAAAAATAATTCTCTGACGTAAGTGTTTTGACAAAGTGTCCCTACAGAAGACAAGTACAAGAGCTTCTTTCACATTTATTTTCAATGATTCCAAGGGTCCTTTGGTATAATTAAACAAATGTGGATATGTACCCTTACAAAAACAGTTCAACTATAAGATATTTGATATTCAGCATTCATTATCTTCAATCAATTGATGCCATATTGGAACTAGATGCATATGTGTCAGAACGACACAAATGGCCCCGTCTCAAAAAGTTGAAAAATCTGCAATTTCAACAACACATGTGGACACAAACATGCATGGATAGTATCCAGCTCTCAAGACCAAATTAGTTTGATGAAAAATTTCCTTGATCTATGAGTAGATAAATTTCAAAAAATCAGCAAACAGGAAGTGGATGTACTGCAGATCTAACAAGATGTGTTGAAACAACATGAAAATCAGCATAGCGGAACGAATCATAAATTTTCAAAGTCCAAAACCCATAATTTTGGCAAAAATCAGCAGAGCAGAACAAAACTTAAACTTGATCTGTAACACATCATGGTTAACTCACATACCAAAAAATCAGCCCAATATCTGAAGGCGTATAGAAAAAAATTTCGTATAACTGTGATTTTCAACAATTTATCAAAGTCCAAAGCCCGTAATTTCGGCAAAAATTAGCAGAGTGGAACGAAACTTTAATTTGATCTGTAACTCATCATGGTTAACTCACACAACAAAAATCAGCCCAATATCTGAAGGCGTTTAGATAAAAATTGCGTATAATGGTTTGTTGCGGAATGACTGAATGACGGACAAGGGTAAAACTATATGGCCCAGACAACTTTGTTGCGGGGCCATAAAAAGTGATAGATGCTTTTATAGTTCAATGAATCTATTGAGTACAATTCACTCTTTATGTTTGAAGAGTTCATGAGATTTTTCAAGCAAAATATGACTTGTTTTTTAGTATGACTGTCATAATGGACAATGACAGACAGCTAGTGATGGCCTATGGACGAGTTGAACTAAAATAGGCAAAAACATTTCAACATTTTGGTAAAACTGTTATGTAGGAAGATTTTGACATTCTGAGCAAAATTATATTGATTATTTTACTTTTAAGTTTATTGTAGAAATGGCAGCCTTGTTGATGGGTTGTTGAGAAACTCAAGATATCATTCACAAACAATATATTCTAAGGAACACACTGACAAATGGGCTGCATAAGATAGAAATCAACCTTATGCAAATGAACTTATACAGGTCGTTAGTTTTCTCGTTTGAATTGTTTTAATATGTCATTTTCGGGGCCTTTTATAGCTGACTATGCAGTATGGATTTTACTCATTGTTGAAGGCCGTATGGTGACCTATAGTAATTAATAACTGTGTCATTTGGTCTCTTGTGGAGAGTTGTCTCATTGGCAATCATACCACATCTTCTTATTTTTATAATTAAGACTTTGATTGATTTTGGAACACTCAATTACGAAATTAAAGATGAATTTTGGTCTGTTTCGTAGGGTTCTTGTAACAACTAAATTTTCAAACAGTTACAGACTTTCCGTAGAGATTTTTTCAATGTGAAATAGGTTAACAGATGTATTGATATTTATTTGCATAAGGTCGATTTCTATCTGAAACAGCTCATTAATGTTGATGATAATTGTGTGTTTCAGAGAAGAAGATTTTTTTTGGTATCCTGAGAATGATATTTGAAATTGTTTAATTGACTTTAAAAAAATCTTTGTTTTTGTAAAGAAAAAATAAAATAAATAAATACCTGTCTCAGGGCTTGATAATAAATCTGTCTGACTATATTGGGACGAATCCTGGCCTCTCTCATTTTCTGACATCTTCTGCATTCAAATAAAAAGGCAAGAAAACAATAAATTAATGGACTTAGTATCTTTTATGAAATCAAGGAACTGAACTTGACCATCACATTGATAGTTAGATTGCTGAGAATTAAAGAAACAAAATGTATGTCAAAGTTAAGTAACTTTTGATTGGAGGATGATGTATTCTCAAACTACATTATATGATTGCTGTAAAGTACCGGTAGGTCAGACCAACCTACTTTTTAATAAATAGTTACTGCAAGTTAAATAATTCTTTATATAAAATTTTAGAATACAGTGAACTATCAAATCTTGGTTATGCACCTTCACTTTATACATTTTCTCAAAAGTTTATCTAAACAGAAGATCAACTAGATGTAAACTTGTTTCTCGTATTTTGTTTTTTATATACCGTATAGCGGGTTATTTTCGCTTATTTTGGCGGGTCAGGGGAAATCGCGAAAAATAAATTCCGCGAAAAATTTATGCATACGTTCAATACTTTCTAATAGCTAAAGCGTTTTGTAAGCTATTTATTTTTTCCCGTTCGACGGATCAATAACGGTTTATGTTAATTTAAACAACTTAACTGTCACTGGCTGTCAGGTGTTAATTAGTTGATTGGTTACATAATAAAATAAATATTAGAATATAGCAAAGTGCTCTCAACCAATGAAATTGTAGGATTAGATGCCTCTTAATTGTGAAGAATGAATGTAAATCATGTTCTTAGTAAGGGATTATCCTATTATTTGGGTCTATTTACAGTTCAAAACAAAGAGTTTCTATTAATGAGTTACAACTGCCCCGAAGCACATTTATCAGATTGGAAGAATTTATCACACAGTGATTGAAACTGACTAAAAGTTGAATTGTGAAACAAACAAAAATCTCAAAATAAGTTGAAGTTTACTGGTGCAGTAAAATTTGTAACGTGAATGTTATTACGAAAATATTAATAACTTCAAATTACTAAAAAAATTAAACAATACCAAAGCAAAGCAAAACAAAAGAAAAAAATCTTTCAGATAAAAAAATAACCTAAATGTTTAGCTTTCAAAAACTTTGATTACTTGATCAGTGGTTGGGAAGAATAGTTATTTCAAATATTTATATAAAAAAAAACAGGAATTTAATTTTGAACATTTCCCTCAAATAATGAAATATTACTTGATGTAAAAAGCCGGACCAAAATATTGGCTGTGAAATAAAATTTAGTTGTAACTCAAATGTATTAATTGATTTAAACTGTAAATAAAAAAAGGATAATTCCTCACTAAAATATTACATGATTTACATTCATACTCACAATCAAGAAACATATCCAATTCCTACCTTTTCTTTCTACTGTTGTGTCACCTAATATCTATAACACTTTTTAAAAAAAAAATATTTCCCAAATGATATGAAAGTCCTTACATCACTAAAACTAATCCATAAATGACATGCCCAAAAAGGAAGTCATGCATCAATTATAAACATTGCACTGACAATGAAACTAATTCTTGAATAGATCATTTGAGCCTTGAGCACTTTACAATATTCTAAGTTTGTAAGAGAATGATAATCCCTTACTTCATGATGAGTACTAGCTAACGCTCGTACTTAATCATGAAGAAAGGGATTATCATTCTCTTACATATACATAATATAAGAGTGTAACTGGTACGCTGTCAGGTATGTTATCCTTATTAATTAGTGTCAAATTATATAAGACTTGCAGGTCACTCATGATAATTTTATAATCTTATTAGTACATCAAAGGTCCGGTCACTTTCGTAACTAATCAACCGTAACATTTACAAGAAGTGTGTACACCTGTGACAAATAACTATGTACCGGTATTCTATTGATTAACTGTATCAAAATATAATCAATAAATAAGACGTCATGCAGGTAAAACAATCATTTAATCATAACAATAGATCTTTGTTCGTCAATTTTTATAATTTTTTAACTGCAACCATTTCAGTATCCGCCAAAATATATAATTGAGATTAAAGAATCCGCCAAAATAAAAACCGCCAAAATTTTTCGTATACTTTGTTGCCCCTAAATCGCGAAATTTTACAACCGCGAAAATAACCCGCTATACGGTAGATTAGACCGTTGGTTTTCCTGTTTGAATGGTTTTACACTAGTCATTTTTGGGGCCCTTTATAGCTTGCTGTTCGGTGTGGGCCAAGGCTCCGTTTGAAGGCCGTACTTTGACCTATAATGGTTTACTTTCACAAATTGTGACTTGTATGGAGAGTTGTCTCATTGGCACACATACCACATCTTCTTATATCTATTATATTAAATATTTTATCAGATCTCACAGAATATTGTGATTCATTACTTAAGGTGCAATACACCAAAACATAGTACGTCACATCCAGTTTCACATTGAATGGTAAGAAAATTATCTATCAGTTAGGGGACTTACTCAAATGAGTGATTTTCTAAATCACTGATTCAAGTAACATTATGTCCATAAAGGATGGAAGTAAGAGTTGTTTTTCTTTAATAATCACCTATTTAAGTAGTACAAATTAATCACTAGAAGAAGTCTTTTAATTTTATTGTAGCTTTAAATATAGAATACTAATGATCCAGGGACTTATTATGTTGCTAAAATTATCAGAACCAACATCTGTGTTGATAGGATGACCAGGTCATTTCAGGTGATGACCTTGTACTGAATCTAGGATGATGACATAAAAATCACTTGTTTAAGTATCATACCTCAATTTCCTTCCCAAAAATCACTTCTTTAAGTATCATTATTTTAATAACCCCCACTAATTTCAACACCCCCAAACAGTGAAATTTTGATCGCGAACAGTAGAATTTTATTACATAATCTGAAAGATGAAACCTTGAACTTTACAGGAAAAATACTCCCACTGCTGGGAAAAATCTGTGAAGAAAGTATCAGTTCATTATGTACAGCCATTATTATAGCATTTTTTCAACTAAAATAGAATTTGCAGCTAAATGATAGCATCAAAGGGATAAACCTTGCTACTTTAAAGATGCAAAAATTTCATTTTTTTCAAGTTTACTAATGAAAAGATATTATCTAAACCTATGTGTTTAAAATTTTGGTAAAACTACAAAATCACAATTTGTGACAAAACTTTGAATTTGCTACTCAAATAAGTGATTTAAAAACCACTTATTCCAATAAGTCCCCAGACTGTCTATATCTGGGATAAAAAAAATAATTGTTGTGCATTAGTTCTTCCTCTTCTTTATATATTACTCTCCCATAAGGATGTCATGTTTTCCTGTAGACTTGCATGTTTTTTTCTGGTGAGGCTAGCATGTTACAACATGACTCAGCTTGTCAGTCTAGTAAAGAGCCTTTTTATGTCCTTTTCAACCTACCATCCTGAATATGCATGTTATGTTTGCCACTGGCATTATAAAGCACCCATCAACCAATCAATCCTAGAATTGGAGAAAGGGTAAAAGCTAACATTGATTACCAATCAATCAAATTGAGGACACGGTCAGTTGACTCCTGTCAGATAGACACAGATGTAGATTGATCAACATGTAGCAAAGAATTCCACTCAAACCATATAGTAAGAGGCACTCTAGAACTTGCAGTGAGGAGCTTTCTTTTAAAGTGGTCAGAGTTGTCTTTGAAGCTAATTAGATGCATATCTAAATGTTGTCTAACTGGTATGACTTGTCTTTCATATGGTTCTAATCTTGTCTTTAATCCATGTTGTCCTGATTCCATTGGCTGAAGTGTTTCCCAACATTCAACCTGTATATAATTCAGAATCTGTAAAAACTGTTTACTAGGAATTTGCTGAATCCTCCCATTTTAGAAAACACAAAATTGCTTCATTGTACACCTGCAGAAAAAAGTGCTATACAGCATAGTTGGTGTTACATTAAGTAAATAATTGTAATATAAATAAAGTTAGATTTCTTACAATTCACATTCAGACTGTAGATTACCAGTGGGATCGGATCATTGGGTTGTATAGCACTTTTGATCTGAAATCAAATAAATTATTACATTTATTTAACATACAGAATTTGTTATATAAAATAAGATGTTGTATGAATTTGCCAATAAGACAACTCTCTCCAACACAGACCAAATGACATAGAAGTTTACAACTATATGTCACCGTACAGTCTTCAACAATGAGCAAGACTCATACCGCATAGACAGCTATAAAAGGCAAATGACAATTGTAAAACAATTCAAATGAGAATACTAATGGCCTGATTTATGTACAAAACAATTTACAAAAAACAAATATGATATACAGCAGCTAACGACAACCACTGAATTACAGGCTCCTAACTTGGGACAGGCACATACAGAATGTGGCAGGTTAAACTAGTTTGTTGTCTTCTTATTCAGAGGGACAACATTCATTCTCCTGAAAGTGAAATAACAATACCTGTATTTTACATGTTTTAGTCGTTTGAGTAAACAAAATTTCTTCATTAGGTTTTGAATTTCCAAACAATAAGGTTATGCCACTTTCTAATATTTTCACTGATTTCTTTTACACTGTAGGGTTCCGGTTAAAGTTATAGCTAAGGTTAGAGTTAGATTTAAAGGGTTAGGGGTTTTGGTTAGAATTTCACACTGTAAAAATTATTTTCTGAAATAAAATTTTAGGCAATCTCACCATTCTGAAATTTTAAGAAACACTTATATGATATTATTATAGCTTGACAATGAAGCACAAAATGTATTAAGTGGATTTTTTTTCAAAGGTGATAACTCCAATAAGCAACCACCTTTGAAAGGAAAATAAAACTTATTAAATTTTTTAAATCTTGTATTTAACCAATTCTGCTATACACAGTTTCTGTCTACATATTAAAGTTTATAGATAATACCCAAAGACATGAATATTAGTCAAACATTTGCCACTTCAGGTCGAAAGTCCAGCAACCATCTGGTTATCTGTAATATTTTAAAAGTTTTGGAGGAATTGAAAGTATAAGTAGAAAATGCAACAACCCCCACCCCTTTTGACTTTTTCTTTCTATTTCTCTTTTACATATTTTCAAGATATCTAACAATTACTTGCATTTTTCTCCTATGTATTTATCCCCCTCACAACACAATGCTGGGGACAATAGAAACACCAGGCATCCCCTTCATGTGTCCGTCTATGTGTCTGTCTGTTCTAGTTTTCACTCACGTGTGTATATTCTTATGAAATTTATATCAAGGATTATACCAGCAATGTCTCAGACGAGTTAGAAAACCACTGCTGATCAACTGTTTTTAAAGGAGTTATGCCCCTTGGAAATATTATATGGAAAATTGCTTTGTATAAATGCTATGCATTTCTTGTAGGTTTGTTATGAAATTTATATCAAAGGTTTATATTAGGAATTACTAAAACAAATTTAATAATCAGCCTCGATCAGCTATTTTTAATGGAACTATAACCATTAAGCTTACATTTCTCATCAGATTTTTATAAAATGTATATAAAAAGTTTATATCAAAATGTCTTAGAAGAGTTTGAAATTAATTGTCTATCAATTATTTTTTCAGGATTTATGTCCCTTGGAAATGTAACTAATAGGAAATTGCAATGTAAGCAGTCTCACACCTATATTTCTTGTTGGATTTTGATGAAAACGGTTTATCATCAGCAAGATCTTGGAATAGTTTATAAATAAGTGCCAATCAATATTTTTGTACAGGAGTTATGCCCCTTGGAAATAGATACATTATATTGAGTATAACATTGTTGGCATTCTCATACCAATATTTCTTGTAAAATACTTTTGAAAAAATTTAAAAGAACCAAAAAGAATTTTTCAGACGTACCGCAATTGCCTTGGAGACATAAAACATGTGCATCTAGAACAACAATTTTATACTAGCTATCCTAAGAATCATTCAGCCCAAGTTTGGTTGAAATAGATTCGGTGGTTTTAGAGATGAAGACTTTTAAAATGTTTACAAAGGATGACAAGTGATGACAATAACTTGTATGGATAAGCCATATAAGCTAAGCATGTAATGATTGTCTGTCTTTATTGGCATTGATGTTATGATTATAAAAGCACAGGTGCACAATTAAGTCATTGACCTCCAATCAACTGATAATTGTCCCAGGTAAAATTTTAAAGAGATTATCACTTGATAATTGTCTTTACAGTGAAAAAATAGCTGACATATCACATTGACATATCACATTGACATATCACATTGACATATCTAAATATCTAAATATGATTAATGCAGTTAAATTGTGTTGGTATTTGACGGTTTGAGAAAACTTCGGAGTGAGTTCTTTGTATATTTTTAAATAAAAGAAGAACGTCTACATGGGACAGAGATACTCCCATTGGTAAACATACAGCAAATTCAGCATTTTTTTCCATTGATAAAGGAACATAACTCTAGAGAACAGTGAAAGTGATGCCACCAAAATTCAAACTTGATCTGTGTTTGGTGGTTATAAGTATTGTGTATACGTTTCATACCATTTGGTTGAGGCAAAGTAAAGTTGGAGTGCAGTATCGACAAATTCAGTAATTTTTCCATTTATAAACGGACATTTTGCACAGGTATGGTTTTTATTATATGCCTTACAATACGAATTCTGTGTTGAAATTATGATATATTAAAATCCAGAGTACTGACATAAGGCAATATTCACAATCTGTACAATCAATTTTTTTTACTTTTAGGTCAATGGTCAAGGTCACATGAATGTCTTTTTAATAAATGTTATAACTTATTACTGTCAAGTGACTGACCAAATGTGAAGTAGTTATGTGAGGTGGTTCCTGAGATAAAATGAAAACAACAGGTTGAACAATTTCATACGTCTGCAGCGCTTTTCTGGATTAACTTCATCAGGAACGCTCAAAGCCGATGATTTGAAAGCCGAGGATGTATAAGTACCAAAACAGTTGAAGAGGTTTATGACAAAAATACTTAAAAAAATAGCCAAATCCATCTTAGGTCAACTTTGCCTGTGGGAGTTGAAATCATAGTTTCTTTATAATTTCAAAATTTATAAAAGGATACGTTTAGAAAGGTTTGTTATAAATCATGTCAGTTCCGAAGTACTGACTACTGAGCTGATGATACCCTCTGGGACTAATAGTCCACCAGCAGAGGTGTCGACCCAGTGTTGTAAAAAATGAAAACACCACGTTAAATAATTTCCTGAAAGTGTGAAGAAAATATTTGTTTGAAGAATGGACAGATGGACGGACCACCAAGGTGAATGCAATATAGCGCCAATTTTTACAGCTGGGGTATAATTTTCAGTTAATTAGAATCATTGCCTTTTAAGGTGCAGCATTCCACAAAAAAATTACTGAACTGAGACAGTTCCATGTAGTACATGCTGTTCAACTGTTGATACTGTTTTTTTTTTTGTATTTTCACTTCGTTTTGACATTCAACATATTCAATATGTACAGTAATCATTTAATTACCTTGTATTATATGACTGCTAACCACAATCAGGAATGGATGTAAATACTTCATGTCTAACAAATATCTGAAAAATATATTGTTAAACAAATATCTGAAAAATATATTGTTAAATAAAAATAAATTATTTATTTAATCCATAAATTTATTTCGATGTATATACTTCCTACATAAAGGAAATGATCTCTTTTAATGAGCAATGCATTTGATGACACATCATTTGCAGCTCGATAAAAAACTTCACGAAACTGAGAAAAACAGGGAAAAATGTTTAGATGACTTTCATGCGTGATAGAATATCTGTTTATTAACAGGAAAGTGATGAGCAATGGATGTGGAAAAAACATCACAAAGTAAAGCATGCTCACATGATCCAGTTTATCTAACAATAGACCAAATGTCCAGTAAAACTCAATATGGACCAACTCCAAATATCCAGTAAAACTAAGAATGGACCAAATGTCCAGTAAAACTTGGAATGAACCACATGTCCAGTTAATCTTAGAATAGACCAAATGTCCAGTAAAACTCAGAATGAACCACATGTCCAGTTGATCTTAGAATAGACCAAATATCCAGTAAAACTCAGAATGGACCAAATATTCAGTAAAATTTAGAATGGACCAAATATCCAGTAAATTTTAGAATGGACCAAATGTCCAGTAAATCTTAGAATGAACCAAATGTCCAGTAAAACTCAGAATGAACCACATGTCCAGTTGATCTTAGAATAGACCAAATATCCAGTAAAACTCAGAATGGACCAAATATTCAGTAAAACAAACAATGGACCAATTCCAAATGACCAGTAAAACTTATAATGGACCAAATATCCAGTAAATTTAAGAATGAACCACATGTACAGTAAAACTTTGAATGAACCAAATGTACAGTAAAACTAAGAATGGACCAAATGTCCAGTAAAACTTTGAATAGACCAATTCCAAATGTCCAGTAAAACTTAGAATGAACCAAATGTCCAGTAAAGCTAAGAATGGACCAATTCCAAATGTCCAGTAAAACTTTGAATGAACCAAATGTCCAGTAAAATAAGAAGTGACCAAATGTCCAGTATAACTTAGAATGGACCAATTCCAAATGTCCAGTAAAACTTAGAATGAACCAAATGTCCAGTAAAGCTAAGAATGGACCAATTCCAAATGTCCAGGAAACTTTGAATGAACCAAATTTCCAGTAAAACTAAGAATGGACCAAATGTCCAGTATAACTTAGAATGGACCAATTCCAAATGTCCAGTAAAACTTAGAATGAACCAAATGTCCAGTAAAACTAAGAATGGACCAAATGTCCAGTAAAACTTAGAATCGACCAATTCCAAATATCCAGTAAAACTTAGAATGGACCAATTCCAAATGTCCAGTAATACTTTGAATGAACCAAATGTCCAGTAAAACTAAGAATGGACCAAATGTCCAGTATAACTTAGAATGGACCAATTCCAAATGTCCAGTAAAACTTAAAATGAACCAAATGTCCAGTAAAACTAAGAATAGACCAATTCCAAATGTCCAGTAAAACTTTGAATGGATCAAATGTCCAGTAAAACTCAGAAGTGACCAAATGTCTAGTTAAACTCAGAACTTGGATATCAATGCCTTAGAGGAGCAGGGACTGTTTACATTTCTTAGCTGAACTCTTTTTTTTTGGGTAGGGTTCATGTTGCTCAATCTTCAGTTTTTGTACAATGTAGATAGTTTTTTTATCTTCAGTTTTTGTAAATGGTTTTTTTTATCTTCAGTTTTTTGTAGATTGTTTTTTTATCTTCAGTTTTTGTAGAGGGTTTTTTTAATACCAGTTTGTCCTTTGACCATAAAGTTGTCTATTTTTCTTTACATTTTTGTTAGCACACTTGGTATCTGCTTATTTTTTGAGTATGGGAATACAAAATAACAGATTTGTCACAACCCACTCAAATGTATCTATTAGTGTTGTCAAATTGAACAGTTTTGCCTAACCGGTTACTCAGATAATCTTTTAAACTGATTAACCGGTTAACGGGTAGTTTAGGAGATGCGTAAAGGTCTTATCTTCAGTACTTTACAATGCACGGTTTTATGATACGATGAATTGAAGTTTATCTATGGGTATTTTAAGGCTTTGCTTAGCGGATAAGTTTTTTTTTTTAAAAATCCAATAATAATATGACTACTATGGCGTTTGTATTAACTTCAGATAGAGAAAATTAAAATCTTCTTGATCTTGGCGAATTGACAAATAGATATTAAAGAAGATGTGGTATGAGTGCCAATGAGACAACTCTCCATCCAAGTCAAAATTTATAAAAGTAAACCATTATAGGTCAAAGTACAGTCTTCAACACGGAGCCTTGGCTCACACAAAACAGTAAGCTATAAAGGGCCCCAAAAATTACTAGTGTAAAACCATTCAAACGGGAAAACCAACTGTCTAATCTATATAAACAAGAGGCTCTCAAGAGCCTGAATCGCTCACCTGTTATTTTTTTTTGCTTAAATTTTTCATCAATGATTATTTTTGCTTTTTACCCATATGTTCCATTTTAGCCATAGTGTCTATGTTTCTTGACGTACAAGGAAATGAAGTACAAAATTTATACTAGATTCATTTGAGAAGATTTTTAAAGTTAAAAAACATAAAACAACTTGTGTAAAATTGTCCTTAAAGGGCAATAACTCCTAAAGGGGTCAATTGACCATTTTGGTCATATAAAACTTTTTTGTAGATCTTACTTTGCTGAACATTTTTGCTGTTTACAGTTTATCTTTATCTTCAATAATATTCAAGATAATAACCAATAAAATGCTCCGCAGGGCGCAGCTTGATACAACCGCAGAGGTCGAACCCTGAACAGTTGGGGCAAGTATGGACACAACATTCAAGCTTGATACAGCTCTGAATTTGGATTGTGATTAAATATTTGACACAGCATAGGTTACTGACACAGAATGAATGTGGTCTAAGAACTTAAAAAGTTTAAATTGGACATTCACCTATTATGGTCCAATATCCAAAATCTAAATACATGGTTAGATTCAGCATATCAAAGAACCCCAAGAATTCAATTTTTGATGAAATCAAACAAAGTTTAATTTAGGACCCTTTTGACCTCAATGTGGACAAAGTTGATAACGGGGCCCAAAAATCAAAAATCTAAATACACGGTTAGATTCAGCATATCAAAGAACCCCAAGAATTCAATTTTTGATGAAATCAAACAAAGTTTAATTTTGGACCCTTTTGACCTCAATGTGGACAAAGTTGATAACGGGGCCCAAAAATCAAAAATCTAAATACATGGTTAGATTCAGCATATCAAAGAACCCCATATATTCAATTTTTGTTGAAATCAAACTAAGTTTAATTTTGGACCCCGATTTGGACCAACTTGAAAACTGGGCCCATAATCAAAAATCTAAATACATGTTTAGATTCGGCATATCAAAGAACCCTAAAAATTCAATTTTTGTTAAAATCAAACTAAGTTTAATTTTGGACCCTTTGGACCTTAATGTAGACCAATTTGAAAACGGAACCAAAAATTAAGAATCTAAATACACGGTTAGATTTGGCATATCAAAGAACCACAATAATTCAATTTTAGATGAAATCAAACAGTTTACTTTTGGACCCTTTGGACCTCAATGTGGACCAATTTCAAAACGGGGCCCAAAATCCAAAAACTTAATACACGGTTAGAATCAGCATATTAAAGAACCCCAAGAATTCAAGAATAAAACCCCATTGAAATTGGTCAAGAAATAAGCAATTTATAGGAAGTATCTTCTTTTGCACAATACTGTGCAATTGAATATTTCTTGCTATTGCGCAATACTGTACAATTGACAATTTCTTGCTATTGCGCAATATTGTGCTATTGAAGATTTCTTGCTATTGCGCAATACTGTGCAATTGAAGATTTCTTGCTATTGTACAATACTGTGCAATTGAAAATTTCTTGCTATTGCACAATACTTATTATATAATAATTTACACATCCTGTTTGGTGTGTATCTCCTACCATATCATTATTATTTGCTTTTAAATATAAATCAGAAATAACCAACTTAAAATGGAAAATTTTACAGGAAAGAAAAAAGGAAAAAAAAAAAAAAATCCCCCCCCAAATTTTTTGAACCCCCTTATGATTCATCACCCCCAAACTCAGTCCCAGCCTTCCCTTTGTGGTATGGTACCTTGCAGTACAATTTCAGAGAGATCCATACACTTGAACACAAGTTATTGTCTGGGAACTAGAAAAATATGTTTTTTGGCCCCTTTTTGGCCCCAAATTCCTAAACGTTTAGGGCAATTACCCCCAAACTCAAACCAAGCTTTTTCTTTGTGATATGGAACCTTGTAGTACAATTTCATAAAGATCAATACATTTACACACAAGTTATTGTCCTGAAACTACAAAAATGCTTGTTTTTTGCCCCTTTTTGGCCCCTAATTCCTAAAATATTGAGTCAAATACCCCTATCATCAATCCCAGCCTTCCCTTTGTGGTATGGTTCCTTGGAGTACAATTTCAGAGAGATCCATACACTTGAACACAAGTTATTGACTGGAATCTAGAAAAATGCTTATTTTTGGCCCCTTTTTGGCCCCCAATTCCTAAACGTTTCAGGCAATTACCCCCAAACTCAATTCCAGCTTTCCCATTATGATATGGAACCTTGTAGTACAATTTCAGAAATATCCAAACACTTACACACAAGTTATTGTCATGAAACTAGAAAAATGGCCCTTTTTTGGCCCCTAATTCCTAATATTTTGAGGCAATTACCCCAAAATCAATCCCAGCCTTTCCTTTGTGATATGGAACCTTGTGGTACAATGTCAGAGAGATCCATACACTTACACACAAGTTATTGTCTGGAAACTAGAAAAATGCTTATTTTTGGCCCTTTTTGGCCCCTTATTCCTAAACGTTTTGGGCAATTACCCCCAAACTCAATTCCAGCTTTCCCTTTGTGATATGGAACCTTGTAGTACAATTTCAGAAAGATCCATACACTTACACACAAGTTATTGTCATGAAACTAGAAAAATGCTTGTTTTTTGCCC